AGTCCGTTTCGTCATCCGGGGTCGTCCGGACGAGTTTGCCGGCGGGCGAGTCAATTTAAGCCAAAATTGTGCGTGATGCAACAAGTGCGTTGCCGAGCCACCGAGGGTTAACCTAAGGTCGTTTGATCCTATAGGAACTCATTTTTAGACCCTCTGCATGTTGGTCCTTAGCCCTTGCAACTAGAAGTTGAGTGCTTGGGACCATTCGTGCGAGTTTTCACAAAAAATGAGTAAAGAAGCAATTTGAAGTTCTATGGGAGGTGGGCTCCATCGCTAGTCCGCTAGGATGGTCAATAAGAACTCCTAAATCTAGATCCTAGGTTCTAAGAGTAGGAGACTTAAGACCTCACTAAAAATGAGGTCAACAAGACACTCCTAGATGGTGTCATAGGAGGTAAAGTAGCACAACTCTCATTAAAGAGAAATGTGCAATAGGTGGTTTTATATGTGTGTCACCTTTTTACGGAGTGTGCAAGCATCTATTCACATGCATATGGTGATGTATGTGGAAGAGATACTTGCACGTGCTCAAAGAGACGCCGCAAGTGAGGGTGCTCAAAGTGACACTCAAACATGCCAAATGCTAGACAACATACAGGCAAATATAATTTTACATTCAATGAAATATAATATAAGTATAAGGCCAAAAGTGTATTTTCATGCACATGAATATGCATGCAACAAGCAAACACAACAGGCAACTTAATGCAAGAAAGTATACAAGCATGCAAAGGTTGTGCGAAGTCGGCCAAAGATGGTCGACCGGAACAAAGAAATCGGTCGATCGGGCCAGGAAAACCGATCATATCAAAGTGATCGTTCAATCGGACCAAGGCGGTCGATCAGATCCAAGTGATTGGTCGATCGGGTCGGAGCAGTCAATCGGCCGAGATGGTCGATCGGACCCGAGTGATCAGCCGATCGGGCCGAGATAGTCGATCTGACCCGAGTGATCACATGATCAAAAAGTCACATGTGAAATGTAATGAAAGGCATGCTCGCAATGAAACCCAGAGCGCTCCACAACAAATCAAGCTCGCCCTATCGACCTCACATAGGATCTAGGGTTAGTGATGAAGTCGTAGCTACTGTTCGTTACGTGGCGTAACGTAGGGTCTACCTCTAATTGTTCGGTAAAACACGAATGAGCTTTTCCAGAAAAAAAAAAAACCTTCACGAAAATAAAAGTTTTCCCTCACGAACATAGATCTAGGTAATTCCTCGTTCTTTATATTGAGGTGGCTTCAACCCATTCATCAAGGGATGAAGCCACTGAACAATCACGGGATTACTAGGTTCTCGTCCGATTAGGTCAATGTTCTAGAAATATGGAGGAAAAACTCAAAGATTCATAGGGGAAATCAACGAAAACGGCTCCCTAATCTAGCGGTTTCCTCTAACATAAAATCCTAGACTTAGTTCTATAACATCAAACCTAAAGGCTCGCAAGGAATGAAATTGCAAGACTTTAGAAGTTTTCTTACCTATGTGGAGGTTGAAGACGCGTTTTTCGGGCTTGATCCAAGCTCCTACCACGCGTCGAAGAAGCTAGCCTTCTCCTTCAATGAAACGAAGTAGAAGCTCTCCTCTCAAAGAGAAAGACCAAGAAAGTTTCCCTTCTAAAAGAGATCTTCACACACACCGCCTTCTTCACAAAGAAAATCAGATGGTTGAAGAAAAAAAGTGAGAAAGGAGAAGAAGATGAAGAAGGAGAAAGAAAGAAATGGGGAAGAAGGGTTGGAAAACTCTCATACTCTCCAAAAATCTTTCACAGCTCCCCACACAATGCTCCCTCACGCACTCAAAGAAATGGAGGAGGAAGATAAATCTGAAGAAGAGAAGTTAATGGACGAAGAAGATGAAGTTAGGGTCGAAGATGAGGATGAAGAAGAAGCTCCTTTCTCTCCAACTGCTCAAAAGATCCTCTCCAAAGAACTCTTCTCCACAAAAAATCCCTCCAAGAAAGAAAACAAACTCTTTTCTCCTCTTCCCTTTACCAAAATTGGCTGTCACTCTTCTCTAAAACTTTCTCCAAGTGTCCAAGAAAGTCCCCTCATAGCCACCTTTTTATCCTCCCTATGCATATCTCCTCTTCACCCAAAAGGACCTGCAAAATTTGGTTGCCTCAGGGCTTGGGCAGGCCTAGATTTGGCCAAAATCGCAAGAAAAACAGGGATTTGCAAGTAGGTTGTCGCCATTCGGAGCGCCTGGGCACTAGGACTAGGCGCCTACTTTTTGCCCGCTCAGGTTTCGTGACTCTTGGGAGCTTTTCTGGGTGCCTACTTGTTAGGCTATCAGTTTGGTGGGGTTGTTCTGGGCACTTAGGCGCCAACCCAATTTTCGCGAAAAATGTTCGGCAAAAGGTTTTTATCGATCCATAAGGTATGAGAGACTATGTATGACCGAAACATGACCTCATAAGTCCAAAAATGAGCACTCTTACTGGTTTTCTATCAAAAATTTTAATATCAAAGGACGCCCTAAACCATTGCGGGGGTTTATCGCCCCAAACCCTGATTTTCCCAGAAAAGCGTGTGAGAGAGTTTTATGGATCCCTTGAATTACGGGAAGCTATGTATCAACGTTATGTTATTCCATATTACTCGAAAGGGCTTTCAACATGTGTGATATCAAAATTTAATGCCAACAATGAATACTATTAAATATTTAAACCATAGGACGTCAAGAACTCGAATGGTTTGGAAACAAATATTAGCCCCCTAAACAAGTATTGATCAAAAGAATCCTATAATGACATGCAAGTCTAAAGGATGGTCTGATTGTCTTGAAAATTGATTGATTACAAAGTCAACTCTAAGACAGGAATGTAAGGACCTTGGCTTCAATATTAAGATTTATTTGCATATTCTTGGCACCAAAAATTAAAAGTTTTCAGTATAATCAAAAACAGTAAAAGTATAAATATCAATATTATGGATCAGTAATAATATTTGAATTGCTATAATGTTAAAGGCAACGCCAACGTAAAGAGAAAAGTGTCAAAATGGTCCTGACTTTTCGCAAGGGAATATTTTAGTCTCTGAGTTTATAACAGTGTTAATTCAGTCCCCAGACTCTTATAATATAGATTGTTGTCCCCAATGAGGTTTATTTTAGCTCCCATCAAAACTGTCTAGGAACTAATTTAGCATTTTTTATAAACTCCAGGACTAAAATGGCACCCCATGTAAATAGTCAGAAGACTAATTTGGCAATTTACTCCCAAAAAAAAGCATATAACAGCACCTCAGTAGTTAATGAGAATCTTTTATATATTTAGTTGTTTCAAAAGTTTATTCTAGACAGCATTCTTCCCGTATAATGACAAGGTGCTTGCAACGATATATTACAATAGATCTTCACTCAATACTACCACCATATTTTTTGGTAAAACTTAACTTTTGATGGAGAAATTAAATCACAACTTGAAACTGTGAAACAACATAAGTGGCAGCAGAGCAAACCTGCCAAAGAACTTGTAGGAAAGAGAAAAGCAGTGTGCTAATAACTAGGTTGCCAGCAATGTTTCTCTGCATGATAAATAGAATTAAAATTGGTGCCAAAAGAATACATCGAAAGAATAAAAGGACCCTATGAAATACCAGCAAAAAGACAAATTATAGTAAGAAGTGAGAGCAGGAAAGGAGAACTGTTTTAAGTGATTGAAAAAGCTTGATATTTAAAGTAACTATTGCTAAAGCAAAATATTGCATGAAACCAGAAGATTACACTTGGAATAAAAAAGAATTATAAAATAAGCTTGAAACTTTGCATTCGAAATGACCATAGAACTATCATTTGAAAGAGAAAAGGCAGCCAGTTCGAAAAGGAATAAGTGTTTTGAACTATAAATTTTCCTTTCAAGATGAGAAACATCACCTATAGGTAGGGTATTCAATCTAAGACTACAATTACGCTTTGCTGCAAAAGAAACAAGCTTACCCATTTAAAACAAGCATGTTTGTAGAGCAAAAGATGCACGACGGCTTATGATATGAGTCTCCTAAGGCAACTAATAATATGTATTATGCTTTTATACAAAGGAAAATAGAGAATTTACAAATCACAAATTAGCAATTAAACCAACAACTTTATTTCATTATATGGAATATTAGAATTTAAGAGCAATGATAATGAAATGATCCAAAATATCCAAGAATTTCAGCAAGAAATACGAAAAACAAACAATCAGCAAACAAATTAATTTACAAAAAATCAGATTTCCCGCATATCACTTTTTTACCAAAACCAAGCACAATCAACTAGCTAATAATAAATTATGTAGAAGACGCAATGAATAAAATTATAAGAGAAAACTAAGCCTCATGTCGGGATAAGGAGATCACTTTCTCAAGAATTATGTAAACTCAGTTGTACTGCACTCAAAATTATCACACCTCCAACTAACATTCAAATCATTAAAACGGAAAAGAAAAATTTTTATTTAAGCCCAAAAGTTTTGAATATCATGCCTCGGACTATCATAGTTAGGGGTGTAAACGAACCGAACACGAA